CAGTCCTCCAGGGAGTGCTGCACACTCCAGAGATATGCCCAGTCCTGTAGGGAATGCTGCACACTCCAGAGATATGTGCAGTCCTGCAGGGAGTGCTGCACACTCAGAGGCACTGTCTGTTATATATATTAAACTTCTCTGCAGCCAACAGGAAAGATTTCAAGGCATGATTTGAGTGGGATTTGTCTCTGGCCACTATTTGTTCAATGTACTGTGTCCAGTTCTGTTATATAAAGGACATTATTAAGCTGGAGAGGGTTCAGAAGAGATTTACCAGGATGCTGCTGGGTATAGAAGGTTTGAGTTACAAAGAAAGACTGGATAGGCCTGGACTTTTTTCACTGGAGCGCAGGGGGTTGAGAGGTGACCTTATGGAGGTTTATAAAATCATGAGGGGTACAGATGACATTAATGGTGGTTGTCTTTTCCCTACAATGGGGGATTTCAAGACAAGGGAACACATCTTTAAGCTGAGTGGAAGGAGGTTTAAAACAGACATGGGGGCAAATTTTTTATACTGAAGGTGGTTCGCGTGTGGATGAGGAAATGGTGGATGTGGGCACAGTTACAACATTCAAAAGACACTCAGATAAGTACGTGAATAGGAAAGGTTTGGAGGGATATGGGCCAGGAGCAGGCAGGTGGGATTAGTTTAGTTTGGGATTATTGTCGGCATGGACTGGTTGGACCGAAGGGTCCGTTTCCATGCTGTATGACTGTACGACTCTATTATGAAAACAATTCATCTGGTCAGCTATCAACTGTGTGAGCTTGCTGTGCACAAATTGAATTACCATATTTTTGACTTTACAGCAGTAGCTACACTTCATAAAATGCTTCATTGATTTGGCAGGGAGCACCACCATCTGCAAGTTCCCCTCCAAACCACACACCATGCTGACTTGAAAATGTATCACCCTTTTATCATTGTGGCTCGATCAAAATCCAGGAACTCCTTTCCTAACAGTTTTGTGGATGTCCCTACGCCCCAAGAACTGCAGCAGTTTAAAGGGCAGTCTAATGATACAGGATAGGCTATTCAGGACTGGGATGAGGAGAAATTTTCTCACCCAGAGAGTGGGGAGCCTGTGGAATTATCTGCCGCAGAAAGCGTTTGAGGCCAAAACATTGAATGTTTTCAGGAAGGAGCTTGATATAGTTCTAAAGCTATCAATTAGGGTGGTATGTTGGCTCAATGTGTAGCACTGCCACCTCACAGTGCCAGGGACCCAGGTTTAGTTCCACCCTTGGGTGACTCTGTGTGACTGGACACGTGAGCCACCCTCGTTCCACATGCAAACCACCCTCTGTGTAAAAAAAATTGCCCCCCGTGTCTTTTTTAAATCTCTCTCCACTCAGCTTAAAAACGTGCTTCCAAGTCTTGAAATCCCCCATCTTAGGTAAAAGACAACTACCATTAATGTTATCTATGTCCCTCATGATTTTATAAACCTCCATAAGGTCACTTCTCAACCTCCTACAGACAGTCTGTTTGTACATTCTCCCCGTGTCTACGCAGGTTGCTCCCACAGTCCAGGGATGTGCAGTTTAGGTGGATTGGCCGTGGGAAATGCAGGGTTACAGGGATAGGGTGGGTCTGAGTGAGCTGCCCTTCAGAGGGTTGTTGTGGGCCCAATGGACCAAATGGTCTGCTTCCACACTGTAGGGATTCTACAATTGTGGGGAGACAGCAGAAACAGAGGACTGAGTTAGATGATCAGCCATTTTCATATTGAATGGCACAGCAGACTCGAAGGCCGAATGGCCTACTCCCTCGCCTATTTTCTATGTTTCTAAGAAGGCAGTGCTGAGGCATTTATGGATGGGTGATAAAAGCTGGCCCAGCCAGCAATGTCTGCATCCAGTGAGTGACTTAAAAAAACACTTTGAAGCATCATGGGCTTATGCCAGGTGCTATATAAATGCAAATTGAGAGAGAAGCAGCACAAGTATTTAGTGGCTGTAAACATATACCTTTCTAATCACTGTTGATAAGAATTCATACCCTCTGAAGGGGCACTGAAGAAAATATATTTACAATATTCTATACACAGAACTATCTGCATAAAGGGTTTATTTTTCAAAAAGTACTTCCTCCCACTGATGTTGTTTTCTTTAATCTTTAATTGAACATAATAAATAAACCAAGTACAGAATATTTGTTTTATTACAGGGTTATACCCTGTACCAACATTAAAGTTCTCCCAGGTCAGTGCAACCTGGTCTGGGGATGTGTCTCCTTACTACAGTACAACACCAAAATGTCATTTTAATTTCCTCCATTAGCTAGTTTTGTGTTTTTTTAGGGTGAGATTGATCTCAGATCATTAGCAGCTATATGTTATCAGACACAAGATCCTGGCATCACAGACTGAATGAAGCTGTATGTGACTTGAGTTTCCACTTTCATTTCCAGTCTTAATTTATTACAATAAATTATTAGTTTGAGTCACTTCATCCTCATTTAATTTGGTCTTCTACACCGAGCAGATGACAGATTTCCATCTAACCTGCCGCATCTGGACTTAAATCCAAGATTCAGAGATGAAACGGCAATGTATTAACTCATATCATCCAAAAATCTGTGCACATTTTCTGAATACAAACCTTGCTTTCTTTACTTAGGTCCTTGTCTTCAAGATCTTCCCTTAATAAATTTCTGTGTCCACATTTACATTGCAAACAACGTATGTAAACATGTCACGCTGTAATTGCACTCTCCTACCATTGATGGGGTTGTTGTAGAACATTTCTGTGCCTTGCAACTTCTCAGCCTATTGCAGAACAACCAGTTTACCAAGTGCAAATAACAACATCAAAATTATGTAAAATTGGCTCAAATTATCCGAATTTTACCTCCATGCCTTGCTCCAGTGATTCAACGCAGTCTCAAGAGGTATTTCCAATCAATCTGTTCAGAAATGTTATTACACACCACTAGAGCAGGTGGGACTTGAACCTTAGCCTAGGGGTAGGGACACTACCATTGTGACACAAGGTTTATACTTCAGCTAAAAAACGTAGCGGATCAACATGAGATTAACTGATTTATAAACATTTTAAGCAGTTTCAAAATCGATTTCATAGTGTGCCCGTGAAAGTCCTCCTTGTGGAATAATGCGAGAGTGCTTACAGTACCTCATGTTAGGTCAGGATTTGAAGGTTTGGCTGCAAGGTGGATGGGAGCAGCCAGCTGCAGTTCACTGATGTGTAAAATGGACGAGCTGGAGGATTATGTCAATGCTGTCATTGATAACAGTTGCACAGCTACAAACATTCTCCCGAAAATAAGTACATCATTCTTAAAGGGTTCATCGTGGGGCTAGAAACATAGCTGTATACAAGCAGCTATGATATAAACACAAATTGATCCTTTGTTATGCGTCTAAATGTGTAATGAAGTGTTCCATTCACTAGCATTATTAATGCTATATTAACACAGGAAAAGAGAGGTCTTGGATCCCTATAACACCTTCTGCAGCTCCACGGTTGCCCAAACACGTTGAATCATACCAGACTCGAAACGCTAACTCTGTTTCTTTCTCCTCAGATGCTGCCATACTTGTTGATCATTTCCCGTCCTTGCTGTTCGGACTTTAAATCTCCAGCATCTGCAGACTTTTGTTTCTGGGTCAATAAG